GGTGGTGGTGGTGTAAATGTCTCATTTAAGGCTGGGCACTCAATAGTAATTTATTCTCAGCACTTTGAGAAGTTATAAGTCTCTGCATTTACAAAGAGAAGTTTCTCTGGCCAAGATGGAGGGCAGCACTAATTTGGGAATATAAACATCAACAGTCAGAATGCAGTCTGACAACATAGCCCAACAGTAGTAGACTCCCCCTAAGGTCTATGATCTCTCCAGTCATGGGCTTGTGACAGTTTATGGCACCAGGCATGAATTCCCTCCTACGGAGCAGGCTTCAGATCCTGACGGACAAAAGCAGTTGGTTACCCCATAAACCTTTGTGCCACCACTGTACCAGTGGGCACCTCTCTCCTGGCAGGTTGATGTGACAGGATTCAGGGCTGTCCAAAGGTGTAGCACTGATGTCTCTTCTCCCCCACCCCTCACCCCCTCCAACCTTCACACCACCTTTCGGCTAGCCAGCAGGGAGGAAGTCTCCAGGTCAGTTTGGGCTTGATTCCTCTATGTCCTAAAACCAAAGTGTGTTTGTTGTGTCTTCACCCATAAGGTCTTACCGTCTAGTTCTGGTAGGCAGCCAAGAGCAACAGCAATAAATCTATACTTTGGGGGAGGCTCTGGGGCCTCTCTGGCCGACAGCTTCTAGGGAAGTATCCCACTTCCTGGCACTGAGATTTTCTCAGACACGTTTCTGAGACTTGTCCCCGAATTCCTCTCATTATGATCCCTTGCACTCCTTTATTCTCCAAGTGTCTGGACACAGGCACTTAGTGGAACCCTGAGTAAAGTCAGTGTTTGCTGGTCTAAACCCTGTCTGGACTCCTCTAGAAGTTGAGTTAATGCTGAACATGCAGGCTATTGACAGTATATACATGCTAAGGTATTAATAATGTGCATGTGGAGCTTCCATACTATTATACGGAATACAAGCGTGGTCTTATAGTGTGGAATACAAAGGTGCACATACCCATCCATCCCTAGTGTTTTCATGCTATCTTTGGTTCCACTTGGGGTTATAATCCCTTCTGGGTCTCCCTCACTAGGGGCTGCTTGCTGGAGCAGTCCTTAACTGACAGAGTGAAGTTCAACAATGGTACCTGGACATCCTCCATGGGCACAGCTCTCTGCCCTGAGGACCCAGGACTGGTAGGAAAGACCTACCCATGAAAGCACCAGAGGGACCAGAAGAAAATGAAAGAAATGGCAGGGCTCTTAGGTTGTAGAGGCTCCCATGGAAGGCAGTGCTTCACCCATGAGAAGACCTTCACTGACTGACCGTATTGGCTGCTAATGACCACATGCTTCTAGAATCTTCTTGACAGTCTGTTGCAATCACTGATCTTCATAAACACTGACCTTACATTGCTCCATCTGCACTGTAAGAGCCCAGAGACCAACACTGTCTCTGCAGGCCCGGACAGGCTGGCAGGGATGCCATGGCTAGTCCCACGTGTATTCATTATCAAGCCTCCTCAGCTGAGTGCTGGTGAGACGGTTTCCTCCAGCAGGGCAGATGGCCACTGTGACACCCCAAGACTGCCTCCCCAGGGCGGGGGAAAAAGGAGCTCCCACCTTCGCGTGGCTTCGCAGCTTGCCCTGCTGGCCTGTCGCCCAAGTGCCAAGGCAGCTTCTTCAAATGCTTCGCTTTCTGGCCTTGGTCCAAGACGTTGTTGGACACGGAGAAACTGTCAGTCACTTTCTCGGCTTCCTCCTCAAGAGTGTCTGTGTGTCAGAAAAACTGTCATTAGGAATGTAAACACTGCAGGCACATACAGACGAGCGGAGATGCAGGCCCTCCTCACGGTGGTTCAATGCATTCTGAGGTAGATCGTGCTCCTCAGAGCCGGTGAAGATGGCCGGCGATCCTGAGTAGTGTGCCGGACGGAAGTCCTGCACAGATGGCTATAGCCCAGTGGTTCCTTGTGTGCGCAGAGCTGAGGGCGGCCCCTTCACTGTCATCCCCAAGACAGGAGAGGGAGTCCCTGCCTTCTAGATGAGTGACCTTGGCTTGGGAACAGATTCCTAGATGTTCCCGCTGATACAGGTACTTGTGAAGAAGCCCAGGCTCCCTGAGACCCAGTCTCCTGTCTCTCTGAGCAGCACTGTCCTGGCCTCTCCCTTGACTTCTCAGGAATGTAGAGAGAGAAAGTGAACATTGCAGGTAAGTGAGGTGCTACAGGCCACGCTAAAAAGGCGCGTGAGGAGCCAAGGGGCGATGACTGTGTCCTCTTGAGGGACAAGACATGCCTCGAACCACTGTGCCGTAAATACCACGGACCAGGCAGCCTCAACAGCAAGCGATTTGTTTTCTTACGGTTCTGAAGTCTGAGCTCAAGTGCCACCTGAGTCGGTCCCTCAGTGGCCTCTCTCCTTTGCAGAAGGCACCTATCCTACTGCAAACAGCCGCGGTGGTGAGTCTTGATCGTCAACTTGGATTGAAAGACACCAAGGAGACTGATAAAGGCTGCCTCTGGGGATGTCTGTGGAGGATTTTCCTTACGTGGTTGGTTCCATGAAGGCTGTGATCAACCAGTGACTGACTCTACTGAAGAATTTGAATTTTGAAGAGAGGACTGAGAGGTGATGGAAGTTGGTCTTGTTGGACAAAGTAGATGCACTGGGAACGCGGGCGTTTGAGATAGGTGCCCAGGACCTTGAATACTTGATCCCTGGTTGGTGGCACTGTTTGGGAGGCTTAGGAGGTGTGGCCTCGTTGAAGGAAGCAGGTCACTAGGAGTGGGCTTTGAGAATTCAAAGGCCTCGTGCCTCAGATCAAAGGACACCTTCAGATGTCTACTCCATGGTGTAATGGTGAGTGTATTTCCTC